GCTTGGCAGTTTCTTGGTAGTTTTCTCGAGGGTTTCTAATGCTCTTCTGTCGCTGTCGTTAGATGGTGAACGATTTTGGATCCCTAGAGACTCTAGTTGGAAGTGTTCTCGGACGAGGTCTTCTATGTCTTCCTCGCCAGTGGTCGCTTTGCCATAATGAGTGAAGTGTACTGTGGCAGTTGTTCCTGATTCACATCCGTGTAACACCCACCCTAAGTTCGTGAGGGAAGCTACAGGATCTGATGGTTTGCCCTTCTTCAGTTTTCTTGTCACTATCAGTCCCCAATTGTCTTGGCCTATCAGTAGCTTGGGCCTCTCGGTGACGTAGAGGAGTTGATTTTCAATTGCCTTCAGGTGCTTACAGTTTCTCACGGTGTCCTTGTTTATGCATTGTTCAGACAGCTTCAGGTCGTCGATGGTCCTTGCTACGATAGTTCTCTTTTCTTTCCTATGAACCCCTTTTATTTTGAACTCGATCTTCTGTGAACTATCTTTTCTTAACACCTTTCCGCCGACGGTTTCGATCGTGAGTTTTTCTTTCTTTCCTTCGACTCCGATTTTCTCAGCGATTGATGCGTCTAAGAGTGTGACCGTTGACCCTTCGTCTAGTAGTGCCAATACGCGAACTTGTCCTTTTGGGCCATAGAGGTTCACGGGGATCATCTTTAGGTAGGCCTTTTCTTCTCCTTTGGCGTTATGAATTGAGGCGACCTTTTCTTCTGAGGTGCTATTGGTGTCTTTTGCTTCTTTTTCTATCGACGCCGGTGGTTTGTCAGAATGTAAGATGGTATGATGCCATCTTTTGCACAGCTTGCAGACTGGTGCTTTACAGTTGATTCTTGAGTGTCTGAATCGAAGGCATTTGAAGCATATCTTTGCCTTCTTGGTCATATCCCATTTTTCATTCAGGTTGGCTTCTTTGAACCTTTTACATTCTAATGCGAAGTGTTCTTCCCCACAGAACGGACACGACTTCTTATATTTCTCTTTTGACGCTTCTTGAACCAAATGAACGGGTTTTCTTATTCCTCTTCTTTGTTCTGAGGACGCTTCGGGCGGGGCGAAGTCTCCGCACATGTCTGCTTCTGTTTCTAGGAACGCTTCGATAAGTAATAGCTCCTGAATTTCCTCATCTCTTCTGCTTCTGTGGTAGGCGAACCAACGGAACTTCATTGACGTCGGCATCTTGTCTACTATAACTATCAGCGTTTCAGGTGAACTGAGATACTGTGGTTTCTTCAAGGCTTTGATTGTCTCGACTGCGTTCTTTACTTTGCTTGCAAATATGCATATGTCGCTCGGGTTTTCGCCAACTCTTGGGAGGTTCTTCATTTTCTCTAGTTCTGCTAATGCTAGTGCTCCAGGTCTTCCGAATCTTGCTTCCAGTCCCTTAATCACTTCGCGTGGGTCTTCGGCGGTGAACAGCAGGCTTTGGACGGCTTCTCTAGCTTTTCCTTGGATCGCTATTCTAAGGCGCGCTAGGTTTTGATTGCTACTGAAAGAAGCAGCCGTATCCTCGTATGATCTTTTGAAGGCTAACCATTCTTCGCAGGCCCCGTTGAAGTGAGGGAGTTCGAGGTGCTTTGGTGAAACGGTGTCACGTGATTTTTCTGATAGCTTTAGTATGACTGAAGCTAGTTCCTGGATGTCACTTTTCTTTTCTTCTGCCTCTATTGGTTTGTGGTTCTTATTAGGCATGTCTCCGGTCTGGATGAACCAGCGTTCGACTTCTCGAGTTCGTTCGAACAGCTCTTCTCCGGCACCATCTTCCTCTTCTGATTCCGCGGTGAGAAGTTCTAATTCCGCTTGAGCAACTTTTGACCGCGCTTCTGCCAATTCTAGTTCCCTTAATGCCATTGTAATCTTTGCTTGCGCTTCTGCTCTCTTCCTATGCGACGAGCGAACGGAAAGCGTGTCTGGATCGCGGGTCGTCTTCTTAGGGTGAGGCTGCTGCAGAGTCTTCATTGCGACACTTCTTTCTTGAATCTGCGGCGTTGGATGACTTTCTTCTTGGTGAGGAACTGACGTTTCGACGGTGCGTGTCGGGGGGGTGGTATGGGTTACGTCCCCCGGTGTTGATTCTTTTCCGGCAATGTTCTTGTTAAGAAGTACGGGTTGTCTGTGTACGCTGCTGGGCGATGCTCTTGTAAGCGTCGATCGATCTGAAGTCGACGTGTTAGTAGCCGTCGTGTTTGTAGAATCACTCGGCGTATTCATGCTCCAATCCGTCGTACTGGTACCCGTAGTGGCGTTACTTTCACTCGTAGTCTTCGACTGCACTGATTTTGATCTTGTATTTGAAGGCATCTTCCTAGTTTTCCTTAAACCCGATCCGGCTTCTCGAAGGACCAATGTAATTGCTCGTATAAGGGAGCGTCGATAAAATAGAGCGGGTTTGCTGGCGGGATGTTAACTGGAGAGCATACAGTAGCAGTTAGATGAGCAATAAATAACACTTCTTGAGAGTTTCTTCTTATTTTATTTCTTGATTCCTTATTATTACATTGCCGGATTTGGAATATTTTACCACGAAAAACGCCCCTTTTTTTATAAGCGGCTGTAACCAATCATAATTAAGAAAAAATCGCACACGGCATTAGTGAATCTATTGACCAATCAGAGCACAGAATAACCCTTTCTAAGAGAGATTTACAATTTTCTTAATAAACGTGGTAAAACATACCTTACAACATTTATATTTATTCCTAACGATAGATACAACTTATTTCTATTATTCTAAACCTAAATTATTCAATAAACCTTTATTTTACACTTATAAAAAATAAAAATAGCTTCGCGGTCGCTTCACGGTTTAGCTCCGGAGTAGGATAGTATTTTTTGCCGAACATACAAGTAGCGCCGCCAAGAGGTAGGAATGTACAACACTTTTTCAGGAATAATGCTTAAGAATCTATACAATATTTTTTCATAAGATTTAAATCTTTCTCATAATGAAATGACATTATATAGTGATTAATTGACATATTAATTTTTCTTTTGAATTACTTTAAAGGAAGAAAAATTATATTAATCACCTATATGTTAATAGCTCTTAGAGTTATGATAAAAGAAATCTTACTAGAAAAAATAAGCTTATACTTGCGTCTAATGTTCTAATCAGACCTATATAATATTAAATAGATTCATATAAGTTACTTTAAGATAAGAATAGAAATGTCTAATTTACTTTCCTGTTTTCAGCACTAATCAGTATTTACACTTAACTTTATTTTACGAATAGGAAACAATTAAGATTTTTAATACTATCACTTAGTTGTGAATCAATGATATTAGGAGTAATTGTAAAATTAAGAAATGTATCGCGTAATATGTCACTTGTGTCGCTAACAATCTTTGTGTCTTTGATTCTCTTCTGATTAATGACTCTCTTCTCATCTAAACATTCGACTGAATATAGGCATCCCCCAAAGATTGCCCATAAAGCTAAAGCTATAAAAAAATAAATTTTTCGCATATGTCTCCTACAAAGAGGCGTCGACTATTTCCTAATTAAGCTGAGGATACAGCAAAAATAAATCTGCAAAAGAAAAAATCTTCCTTGGTATGGATATTCATATTATAAAATAGTATGTATTGTAATCTACGACTCTACTATGACTCTACTTTCTACATCACAATAATGCATATTTCCTCGAGGCACCGACTTACGTATATTTACGATATCTCATATTATCAATACAATGGGTTTGTTTTTGTTTTTTTTTTTTCCCGGGGGGGGTTGTTTGAAAAAAAAAAAGGGGGGGGGTTGTTTGTGGGTTGTGTTTTTTCTGCAAACGCACCCAATGTCGTTTTATCTCTTTCATATACAGCCATCGATCTCTTTTCTGCAGAAACCTGCAAAAAGTGTTGCCAGAGTCTTATTTCAATGTACCACTCGAAGCTGATATTCGTGTAATTTTTATAAAAACCATATAAAATAATATATTTAAATACTTACTGCAATAAAATAACCGTTTTTTGGGGCAAAATAAAATAGTTTTTTAACAAAGAAATGCAAATAATTGCTCCGTTGCTGTTATTTGTCGGTTTTTACCTATGTCTGCTTATTTCCGTCACCGAGATCGTGTTACCTTTGTCAAAAAAGTGTAAACTTTTCAATGCAGGACTGACAAGAAAGCCTTTGAATTTTGATAATTGTTTAAGTAAAGCTCCATTTCCGCTAAATATTTTCAAATTCTTGTTTTCCATTTGAAGGAAGCAGAATCAGAACAATTAAGGGCAGTAATGTATTCCATATTAGCTTTTATATAATTAAAAAAAAACTAATAGCGTACAATTTTTATAAACAACTTGATTGTAACATCCCTACTACAATCAACTTTTTAATAAAAAATTTAAAAAACGTTTGCATTTTATATGAAAATTAGTCTAATAATCAAAACCATGTATTAGGCAGGTGAGTAGGTGTTATTTATAAAAAAGTTGTTTGTAGTTCTTACTAGAGACAAACGAGTTAGTAGGCCATCTGGTGGTAAGTCCTTATTACAATCAACTTTGATGATGATGAAGTTGATTGTAATAAGGACTTACCACTGGATGGACTATTAACTCGTTTGACTCTAAAATAATTTAAATAATATTGTATTTCTGATGATTTTTATACCAAAAATAAAGAAACAATGTCTAATTTTAATAGCGCGAACTAGTTCATATTGTCTTTAGCAAGAAAATATAGTCCTTAAAAGTCAGGAAAATTTCTGCGTCTGGCATCACCGTTGGCGTATATCATTGCGTTGGAACGCTTGTTTTTTTTTTTTTTTGTTTTCTTCTTAAAAAATTTTTTTTTGTTTTTTTTTAAGCCCTCGCCCTTTTTTTTTTTGGTACAAAAAAAGCGCGACGGCGGCCGCGGGAAGCAGTATAATTAGAAATACGATACAAGAAAGACGAAGAGGAGAGTTCGGTGTTTATCGAAGTTAATTTACAAGCGCTATATTGTTGACGTATATATTAGTGAGAAGTTTAATTAAAAAGAGAACAAAATGCCAGCTATTGGAATTGATCTAGGAACGACTTACTCGTGTGTTGGAGTGTGGCAACATGGCAACGTGGAGATCATCGCGAACGACCAAGGCAACAGGACTACACCATCCTACGTAGCGTTCACCGACACGGAGCGACTCATCGGCGATGCGGCGAAGAACCAGGTGGCCCTGAACCCCAGCAACACAGTGTTCGACGCCAAAAGGTTAATCGGGCGCAAATTCGACGACCCAAAGATCCAACAAGACATGAAACATTGGCCATTCAAAGTGGTCAACGACTGCGGGAAGCCCAAAATTCAAGTAGAGTTCAAAGGCGAGAAAAAGACGTTCGCGCCGGAGGAGATCAGCAGTATGGTGCTGACGAAGATGAAGGAGACGGCGGAGGCGTACCTCGGCACCACGGTGCGGGACGCCGTCATCACCGTGCCGGCGTACTTCAACGACTCGCAGCGTCAGGCCACGAAGGACGCGGGCGCCATCGCCGGGCTGAATGTGTTGCGCATCATCAACGAGCCCACGGCCGCTGCTCTGGCTTACGGCTTGGACAAGAACTTGAAAGGGGAGCGCAACGTGTTGATCTTCGATCTCGGCGGTGGTACTTTCGACGTGTCGATCCTGACTATCGACGAAGGCTCTCTGTTCGAAGTGAAGGCGACGGCCGGCGACACGCACCTGGGAGGCGAGGACTTCGACAACAGACTCGTGAACCATCTCGCGGACGAGTTCAAGCGCAAGTACAAGAAGGACCTGCGTTCAAACCCGCGCGCCATGCGTCGCCTCCGCACCGCCGCCGAGCGCGCCAAGCGCACGCTGTCGTCTAGCACCGAGGCCACCATTGAGATCGACGCGCTCTATGAAGGCATCGACTTCTACACGCGCGTCTCCCGCGCTCGCTTCGAGGAGCTCAACGCAGACCTGTTCCGTGGCACTCCTGGAGCCGGTCGAGAAGGCGCTTAAGGATGCGAAATTGGACAAGAGCCAGATCCATGATGTCGTGCTTGTAGGCGGTTCCACTCGAATCCCGAAAGTGCAAAGTTTGCTTCAGAACTTCTTCTGTGGAAAGCAATTGAACTTATCCATCAATCCAGACGAAGCAGTTGCGTATGGCGCTGCCGTTCAAGCCGCAATCCTCAGTGGAGATACTGACTCCAAGATTCAAGACGTATTGCTGGTGGACGTGGCTCCATTATCTCTGGGTATCGAGACGGCCGGAGGCGTGATGACGAAAATCATCGAAAGAAACTGCAAGATTCCTTGCAAACAGTCGAAGACCTTCACCACATATTCAGACAACCAGCCAGCAGTTACTATCCAAGTGTATGAAGGCGAGCGTGCGATGACCAAGGACAACAACCTGCTGGGCACGTTCGACTTGACAGGCATCCCGCCAGCGCCGCGCGGCGTCCCCAAGATCGACGTCACCTTCGACATGGACGCTAACGGTATCCTGAACGTGTCGGCCAAAGAAAACAGCACGGGTCGCAGCAAGAACATCGTGATCAAGAATGACAAGGGACGCTTGTCGCAGGCCGAAATCGACCGCATGTTGTCCGAAGCCGAGCGCTACAAAGAAGAGGACGAGAAGCAGCGGCAGAGGGTCGCCGCCCGCAACCAGTTGGAGACGTACGTGTTCAGCGTGAAGCAGGCGCTAGACGACGCGGGAGACAAGCTGAGCGAGTCTGACAAGAGCACGGCGCGCCGGGAGTGCGACGATGCACTGAAGTGGCTGGACAACAACACCCTCGCAGACCAGGAGGAGTACGAACATAGGCTGAAGGAGCTGCAGCGAGTGTGCTCGCCCGTCATGAGCAAGATGCACGGTGCGAGTGGTGGCATGCCAGGTGGTATGCCTGGAGGTATGCCAGGAGGTATGCCTGGCGGCCAGCGCGATGGTCCCACAGTAGAGGAAGTGGATTAATCGTTCTCTAGTCGGACATTGTAGTTAAATTAATAAAATGTAAATATTTGTAAATAAGCATTCTCAAGTGATATTAATTGCATAAGACTGATAATTTATTTTTATTTATTGAGCAGATGGATGATCATCTCCTGTTAAATAAATAGATTAAGTAATTTATTACTGTCTTTTATTACTCCTCCTTTACACTCACTATTTACACAGTAGATAGGTGCTCCCCAGGGCATCACATTCACATTTCTGACTTTCTAAGGTCATAAAATAGAATTTAAAAAACAATGATTGAAAACAATATATTTTATGTCTATTTACGGTGTAATGCGACTGACTTAGAAACTATCGATTTGCTGAAACGAGTCATAAGAATTGTCTCTATCCGAGATATACTTTTGCCTCTTAGTATATTAACATAAACCTCATGCATGTGCATTAAACAAAACTAATAGCCGGTCAAATTAGACTAGAAAATAAGAGCGAAGATACATAAATTTACAAGAAGCTGATATTCGGTAAAATTGTTCAAAGTATAGTAATAAATAAGACTTTAAAATTCCCCACTCAAATATCAATCAATATCTCCGAAACTGGCTCGTAGAAAAAAAAGTATTGAAACATTTTTTGTAGATAAGTAATTTTATGATCTACATTTTTTCGACGGAGTACTTTATGATAAAACTTACCGTTTTGCCGAAAATCGCGAAAAACTCATTTTTTGACCTTGGACCTTGAATTAAAATTTTCCGTACACAAGAAAAGGGTTAGGAATTTTTAAATTTTATTTATTATTATTATATTGAACAATTTTAACGATTATCAGCTTGTAAATTTATGTATCACAAACTAATAAGAGTACTAACGTATTTATGTATCACCGAATGTCTAGATTGACCGGACTATAAAAACGGTTTCTTTTTTATAAATGGTTAGATACATTCTGTGATTAATAAGAACAATCACTAGCTTGTAACATCACTTCTCGACTTCACAGAAGACCTTCATATTGCTCGACTTCAAGGAGTCAGTAACACGCATGAAAACATGCAGGTTCTGTCTATCAAAAAGTTTAAAAATTACTACCAAAAATTAAACAATTGTTAATCTCCTGCAATGTATTACATTCTAAGCTATTATAAATTATGAGTTTCAAAAATAATGTCGCTGGGTTTTTTGTTGTTCTTCCGAGGATAGGTTTTCTCGAACAAGTAGTAAAAACATAAATAACTTTTCCATCATAATAATCAATACCGTTCTTACGTACGCAGTTCTTAAAAACTGAAAACTGAGTTTCGAAAAATGGTACAGTTTACTCTCTTGAACTTAGTAATTTTTAAGTAATTTTTCTACAATATTTTCAATATTGCAGAAAAATTACTTAACGCATGTATCGACTAAGTACGTTACACTAAACACGTTGCTTGAATACTCAAAGGCCTGAAGTGATTACGAGTATCAGTTGATACCGACGCGGCGTTGCTCACAGCTTTGTTTTTAGATAAGGGTGACAAACGAGTACACCGTCCACCTGACGATAAGTAGATCTGCTGATCTGTAGATGCTGTGATCCTTAGACATGTACATCTTATATTCGATTAAGAATCAAAATGCGAATGCGTTGTCACCGTCACTCCTGAAGATTAAGATGGAATCGCTCATTTCCTCTGCACCTACCATGCGAATCATCGCAGCATTCACGATGTTATTCGAACGTGTTCTTTCCTCGGTCGACCCATTCGTGCTACAACCATAATAACATAGCTGCAGCGTTGCTGTCATAGAAATTTGTATGAAGCTATTCTCATAACCTAAATTAAATGCATGATAATAACCCCTGGGAATGCGGTGATCGCTACCAAGCTATTTGTAATTTGTTTTGTGTTGTTAATGTGTAACATAATTTTTGAAATCTGTTTTTTTTAAAGTCCCGCTGTGTTTCTTGCTGGTTCTTCCCAGGACAGCGATTTTTTCCGGACCAGTGGTAAATTATACAAAAGAGTAACTTTAAATAAGTATTTTTATAATCTATAGTTTCTGTTTAATGTTACGCAATATGGCAACGTTTTCTAGCCTTGGATATTAATTGGCTAATATACGCCGCTACCACTTGGCTAACGGCATGTACCTACTTCCTGTCAGCCTTAGAAAATTAGAATTTGGTATTCAGGCATTAGATATTATTGCAAAAGCAAAAAATACTTACTTTAAGGGGATATAGTGAGTCAGCTCAAATTCTAATTTCGCCCCCACTTCATGCGCGTCGTACGCTGTGTACCGACATGTTTGTAATCACTTATACTGTAAGTAGATAGGTCGTTAGATACTTATTTTTTTTATAGAAGAGGGGGCAAACGAGCATGCTCCTCACCTGATGTTAAGTGACTAACGCCGCCCATAATCAACCGCAACACCAGGGGAATTGCAGGTATCCCGGCCGGCCGGTCCTTTACATAGGAGTAAGCTCTTTTTTTGAAGTTCCCGGGTCGTCCGGGTCGGGAAAAATCGCCGGTGGTAAACTATTCCTCAGAGAGGTCGTACGCGGGAGAAAACTCATTTTGAAACGTACAGTGGTGGACCGCCAAGCATCCAGATGGTGTGGATGATATCGAAACGTTTGCCGCGTAGTGCGTTCACGAAATTTGGCGGCTGGGATTAATCCGAACAATTCGTCAGAGAACTCCCCATGGTATATGCGAAAGAAAATGCAAAGAGATGTTGCATCGAGAGCTGATCGGAAAGCACTCGGTCGTCGACTATTCGAGCCGCTCTGCGCTGGATGCGGTCAAGTAGGAGGAACTGGTACTGGTGAGCCCCAGCCTAGAGATAGGAACAGTATTCCATGTGCGGCCGAACCTGCGCCTTGTAAAGTTGCAGGTGGTGTCGGCATGAAATACTGTCCCGCTGTGCTGAGCACGCCGAGCTTTTTAGAGGCCAATTTGGCCTTCTCTTCCAAGTGACCACGAAACTGCACGTCACTCGATATGTCCACGCCGAGGATTCCGATACTGGCTGAAGTAACAAGGGTGTGCCTTGAAACTGAGGAGATACGACAAAGGGGTTCTTTTTAGCGGTTAACGCGCAAACTTGTGTCTTTTTGGGGTTATACTGGACTAGATTTAGTCGCCCCCAATCCGAGACTCTGTTCAGCAAAGACTCGACTTCAGACACAAGTTAGTCCCGGTACTCGGAGACGTTTTCCCGAGAAATATTGGCTCGTCCGCGTACCAGTGCTGTCATCTGCATAGCAATGAATGTTACGGGTTTGCAACATATCATTGATATGCAGAAGAAACAGCGTTGGCGATAACACGCAGCCTTGTGGAACACCAGCATTAATAGGCTTTTTATTTCATTAGGTTTATCATATTTATGCCTGTTTCTTAACGCCAACCCAGTCGCTTCTTATTTTTATCACTGTTATTTCCCATTTTAATTTTACGTCGTCCTATTGCGTAATGTGTATTCTGATCGTAAGCGACCAATGATCTTATATGTAAAAGAGGCACTTTACAGCACCCATGGTAAATTAAATAAATTAAAGTAATTAAACGCAATAAAATCCTTAAATAATAGTTTTATTCAATGTGTAGTGTTCGCGTAAATTTAAGACAAATGCTGCGTTTAAGTTCGCACAGATGTGGCACCCTTGAAAATGTGCAAGTAACATAAAACAATAACTCCCTTTTACGGGTGGTTACTGATTCCAATCAACCGAAAAAAACAAAACAAAACGAGGAAATTTACACCGACGAAAAGGCAGTAATTATTGTTTAGATTCTGAAGCTTCAAATTAATGCAGAGAAACACATTCCAATTCCATATGAAACCATGGCAATCTCATCAACAAATCTCAGCACTTAATTAGCACTTACATTTATAGAAGATAGAAGAAAATTTGAAGAAATATATAAATAAAAACGTGGCAAGTAATTAGATCTGCTGCAAAGTTAAACTCAAAAGCACATCACAATAATAGTTAGTTACTTCACCTTGCAGAAAATCCTGTGTCAATAGTAGTTAGTCTGTACCAGTTCTGGCTCGTGAGCCGGAACGTTGCTCTTCGTTTGCACTGAGAAACATCCAACATGTAATGTTTTGAAACAAATCGCATAAAATAAATCACACAACATGTTCAGTTGATGGTGGCGTTCGCACTCACAAAAACTGTGTAAAATTTTCAACAGATATCAAGATTTGTTTGTAGCTGTGTTCGCATTGATTACAACATAGACATTTTACTTGTTTATCTATAGATTTGTCAACGTTAGCGTTCGCACTGTTGTTTTTTTATATTTCGCGATTTGTTTTAAATCGTGTTTTTCTGTTATCCAATTTAGTTGGAAAACATCACAAAACATTATCAACCCTAGCGGAGACGAATGATAACTTAATACAAAATATAGATGTGGTATCATCATCATCATCATTACAACCCTTCACAAGTCCACTGCCGAACATGGGCCTCCCCCAAGGTATGCCACAAAGCACAGTCCTGAGCCACCTGCATCCATCGACTACCTGCATGTATTACCAGGTCGTCACTCCATCTAGTGGGGGTTGCCCTACACTTCGCCTACCGGTACGAGGCTGAGAACCTTTTTTCCCCAACGGTTTCCGGTTCTTCGAGCTATATGGCCGGCCCATTGCCACTTCAGCTTACTAGTCCGTTGAGCTATGTCGGTCACTCTGGTTCTACTGAGGATATCCTCATTTCTAAGTTTATCACACAGAGAAACTCCGAACATAGCCCTCTCCATAGCTCGCTGAGCGACTTTGAGCGTCCTCATACGGCCAGCAGTGAAGGACCACGTCTCGGTTCCGTAGGTCATCACTGGCAACACGCACTGGTGGTACAACTTTGTTTTCAGGTTTTGAGGTATACCTGACGAGAAGATGCGTCGTAATTTCCCGAACGCTGCCCAGCCGAGTTGAATCCGTCGATTGACCTCTCGGTCGAAGTTGGACTTACCTAGTCAGACTATTTGTCCCAGGTAAACGTACTCGTC